AAGCATTGATAGTGGGACAAATGATAAAACTACATCAGGTAGGATAATCTCATTCTACAGAATATTGCAATACAACAATTAATGTGAGTAAGGAATTCAGTTCTGTTGTGGCAGGAGGTCATTTTATGATGGCGTTTATTTTGCCTTTTCTGCAGATTTTCATGTTATGGCTGTGCTGAAGTTGGCAGCTGTGTGCTTCAGTAGCTGTGACATTGAGTAATGACAGAAAGCTCAGTTTTGGCCCCACACCTCTCCAGAGGTCAGATAAATGGGAATGATAGTTTTTGACTGACTCCTCACTGAGTGAGGAAACACCTGCAGAGTCCACATCTGATAGTTTCTGAAACAAAAGCCAGTTTCAAATTTGCTTCAAAATCATGGTCCTCTCAAATCTTTCTGTATTTTTTTTTTTTAAGTCAGTGGATCCAAGTGAATCCTTGTAGGTAGACTGGTGCAAATGCAGAAGCAATGGTTTCACTTCAGGACTGGCTACTAAGACCTTACACATTTTCATTTTGTGAGACTAAGTGTGTGACATACCCACAGTTACTCTGTTCAAGAGTTCCATTTTTGATTGCCTAAACATCCCTTGCTTTCTTGAAACAGAAGTAGGCAAAAATGGGATTTTATTTGTATGCATGGTTGTAACAGGAGGAGAGTAGTTAGAGGTAGGCAGAATAAGTTTCTGTCTATTTAAGAAAATCCAAACCAAATTATTTTAATTGTGGAAACATTTTCTGGTTACTCATTATCAAATTGTAGTTATAAATAGGAGTTATAATGAATGCTAAAAGAAATCTGAGGCTCAAGAAGGAAGGTAATTTTTGAAGCTGTATGGAGCAAAGAAAAATTCGACAGTCGTGACCACTGCAAAAATATACTTCCTGTGCATTTATAATTATTATTACATTAATAATGCTTGAATAGAACTAGTCTCCTTTTCTGTTACAAAACTGTCTTAATCTGGCTTGTTGCCAGAAAGTGGCATTTTTTGGTTTTTTGTTGGTTTTTTTTTTTGCAATGGTTAGAATAAAACCTACTGAAGAGGTAAAAAGCTTCCTTCTTTCAGTTTGTTTTTTACTGTTATAAAGTGTGGCTTCCATTTTTGAGTTCTGTTATCAGCCCAGCTCCTGAGCTGTGCCACAAACATCCCTAAACCCTTCAATAAGTGTTTTCAGAATATAATGTAGTTTAAAGACTGTCTTGTTTTAAGAGGCAAATGAATTGCTGGAAGTGGATTCAAAGCTGGAATCTGAATAGACACATCATTTCAGGTTACAGTTTATATGTTGCTGATAATTACAAAGCATAATTGAAAAGTGATTATTAGTCATTTGTTATTTACACAGCAGAGTTTTAATATGTTGTGTGAACAAGGAATAAAAATAAGCTGGTCATGAAAAAATTGAGCCATGTATACAGAACCTGAGTTGAGAGCAAAGATATGAATGCCCATTAATTCAATATTGAAATGAGACACTAAAACTTTGTGGGTTTTTTCAGCTGGAATAAGTTTTAAGTGAATGATTTCTCTGCTGCAATTTATTTGTGCTCCAACTATGATCAGATAAGAAAAAAATTAATTAAGTGATGTATAAACAAATCTTTTTATGTGGAATGGATGCTCGTAGGTTCGGGAGTAAGTTAAGGGCAAAGTTCATCCTCAGGATCTGAAAGTAAGGAATAGTTGTGTGGCTCACTTTGAAGTACCTGGAAAGCAACACTTTTGATAGCAAACCTGTTCATCCAGGTCTGTAAACTGTGAGCCCAGAGCCCTCTGGTGTTGCTGTTGGTGTAACAAACATTAACCATCTACACCAGCACAGTTCAGGGTGACCTGCTGGTATTCTGACCTGTCATGAAAGACCTGCCAAGACAATCACTTTCTCACAGCCAATCATTTATTGACTCTTATTTATCTATGGTTTAAAAAAATGGTAATTTGTTTTTGACAAAGAGAAGCGGTACAGCTTATCCTAGTTTTTAGGAGGGTTTACTTTGGACCAATTACCCAATCTGTGTCAGCAACAACGCAGAAGATAAAGATAGGTCCTGTGTAAAGGAAAATTTAGGAAGAGTGCAAGTCTGCTCTACTACATCCATTGCAGTGTTCTGGTTTACATTTACTCCATGTCTTGTTTCAAGATCTTTTATTTTGTCTTTAATCCCCAAAGCATGTTGTTCCCTGTCCTCCTTTAGAACTGAGGGTTCCCATTTTCTCTTTCCCAGCCCTGGGACTGCATCTGTGATAGAGATCCCTCCTTCTTCCAAATCCCTCCTTCTTCCAAGGCAGGGTCTCCAGTACTTCCTCAGCCACAGGTTTGGTGTGCCTCCATGATTTACCTTGGCTTATGGGCCTCTTGTTTCCTGTCTCCCCATGCCAGGACTGGAGCCTGTCAGTGCCCTTGCTTCTATTTCTGTGTTTTCTTTTCTTCTTATGCCACCAAACTCTGCTGTCCCTGCCATTATCACCTCTCAATCTTCCCATGTGACACGTCTCCCCTTCTTTTCTTCCTCATCATATTAGTTTTTTCTCTTTCAGCGTATCTGGTGGCACAGACTTATTACATACAGGGATCTCCAGGACAGGGGGTATCTTCTGGGATGCTGAAATACAGATTTTGTATGGAATACAGGCTTTGTATGGGAAAACAACTAATGATCTTGAAGCAACATGCAGGAAATCTGCCATTTCAGAAGGTTAATGGTGAGCAAGGAGCTTCTGTGGACCAACAAAGCACATAATAATTGATTTTCTATTATAGACATTATTTCCCTTCTGCAGAATTAATAGGAGAATACTAATTTCCTAGCCTGCCTGGTAAGGCTAGAAAATCTGTTACACACCGAACTGGTCATGAATTCAGTGGCAGTGCTGCATTGGGAAGCCTGGTGAGTTAGCTGGGAAGGAAGGCACAGAGCAGTGTGCCACCTGGAGCCCTCACCGGGAAGCAGGAGAGCCCAAAGCATGGAAAAAACTAACAATATGTCAACAGGAAGCTGGGACGGAGGTCGGGACTTCTGCCAGCAGGAAGTATGGTGATGTTAGTGATTCTCACGGAAAACTCAGTGCCTGCCTTTGAAGGGGGAAGTATAGGGGTGGGTATTGCTCTGTGAAAGAAAAACAGGTGTGAGAGCCACCCAAACTGTAGGGTAGGAGAATGGTTTAGTAAAAAAACTTCAGCTTTTTACTGTTCCCCTTACAAATCCTACAGCAGTTACTCGTAAGAGGTTGCCTGGCATTGTACAATGTACAGTCAGAGCTGTGGTGGATGGTTCCAAGAACCCTAAAGTACTAAAGCTGAGTAGAGTCAGGAAAATCCACAAACGCCAGAAGTTTATGTCCAAAAAGGAGGCAGAGGAGTCCTGCATCTATATCCGAACGGGAGGAAAGAAACCACCGGGGCACACAGCTGAGGGATTTTCCCTCTCAGGGTTTCAGAGGGAGCAGCCTCTTTTTATCCTAAACTCCAGGCACATGCTGCCCTCCTTCCCCCACTGGCTGAGGCAGTAGGAAGGCACAGCCTTCCCGAACTGCCCACCACATACCCCCCCTTGACCCTACTGTTCTACCCCAAAGCTCAGAGAGCCAGGCTGTGCATTCCCCTGTCTGTGCCAGGAGCCTCGCTGCCCAAAGTCAGCAGAGACATTGGGAGCCATTGCAAAGACACTGACACCCAGCCCTTCACCCATCCAATTGTCTGTACTGACAAGAGCTTCCCTCTCAGCAGTAACCGCATAGATTTACAACAGTGCAATTTCAGAGATTTATTTATTTGCACTGGGCATTTGCATTTATAAATATGTTGCAGTGGGCTCTAAAACAAGAGCTGACTTTTGACTGGTTTGAAATACTTTAGATAGTTCATGCCAGTCAGGTAAGGAACTTTCAGGGCCACAAAACAAGTGCAGACTCAGAGTGGTGCTTGCTTTCTGAGAGTTCACTAATTGATGACATCTGAAGTGATGTGCTCGGAACACTTCCAAGTGTTTGTTTTTTGAGGGTTTTTTTCATTCAAAGCAGTAGCAAAGCTCTATAGGGGGTTAGGTACCACAGCTTATATTGGCTTTTGACCCAGAACTTTATTTTATGGAGCCAGCAACTCTCACGCAAGGGATTCATTGAAAAGTCAAAGCAGAGGTGCTGTAAAATGCTCAAAATTTATTAATCATAATTGCTTTTTTGGTGTCTTAAGGAACAAAAATAAAATAATATTCAAAAACTAAAGAAACTATACCATACCCAGACAACATGACAGAGTAAGAAATAGGATAACATTTAATTCTGAAAGAAATGACCCAATAAATCAGTATTCAAAAAAATAATAATAAATAGCAGATTATTATTATTATTATTATTATTATTTTACTTTAAAAAAAATCCTTCATATGCCTCTGTTGGCAAATATATATATTTCCTCTGTAAACAGTTAACCACATAACAAAACAAAATAAAAAAAATCTATATTTTCATATAGCTACTATGCTGATGGTGTTATGTAAACAAAAAGTAGTGTGCAGCAGCTTCTCACAATAGGACTTTTTCCTTTTCCTCACAAAAACATGTAGGGAAATATGTCCATCATAAATTCTTCAAAATATTGAAGTTTATAGTTTTGAAAAGATATGGCTTTCTGCCCTCTAAGTTTTCCTCAACAACAAAAAAAGAAACATATAGAAGCAGACGGGTACAGTTTTTTCCTTGGATTTGGTTTGTTTTCTGGATTTGTCTTTTGATTTTTCTCTGTGAACTGGAATGAAAATGTTATTGAAAGTCCAGCATTTCTCGGAAGACAAATGTACAGAAAATGTCAAGATGAACTTGTGCTGTACCACTCAAGGTGTAAAAAAAAATAAATAAAAACCAATGGGAGATAATGAAATTATATTGATAATGAAAACTGAAATTCTGTAGACAGACATACTGGGGTTTTATGAAGTAAACATCATCTGTTCATCCAAAATTTTAGCTGCTCTTGACACTTTTGTATTTTTTGAAGTTTCTTTATTTAGTCTTATGCTCAGCCCTTGTTTGAGGACTTCTCTCTAGCTCTAATTTTTGATATTTGTTTGCTCCTGAGAGGTCTTTATCTGCTGTGTCTCCTGTTGGGTGTTGTCTTGAGTAATGCACTCAGCACCCACACAGCTGCATTTCTCCACGTAGGTGTAGGAGTGCTCGAGGGAGGTTCCGTCACTGCACATCAGAGTCACCTTTCTTTTGCTGGTCTTGATTTCCTGACAACACGAGCATTTGTGCACCATCGTGTTTGTCATTTGAGAATATCTGATTGGAAAATCAATGAAAGAGAAAGATTCAGAGTTTATGTGAGAAATAACATTGCCTCTCCCACCCTTTACAAAACAACCAGAAGTTGTGTGCTTGCATGTGGGACTATTGCTCAATATTACCATTCTTACTGAGTACTGAGGTGAAATACAAGTAAATTGCGCCTCATTGTAAAAACTGATGACTCTAAGTCTTCATTAAGGCACAGAAAAAGGAAAGAATTATTCCAGATCACATAATGAGACAGTGCAGCAAGGGAATAATGAGAAACAAAATAACCTCAGGTTTAAATGGGCAAAATAAGAATTCAGGTCTATTCACTATGACACTGAACAGGCTATTAAACACTGAATCTCGAGGTAATCAAGCTAGTACAATGTAACATTACATAGCACAATGGGAACAGTTGATGACTGGGTGGATGTTGGACACATCAGAAAAACACTTGTGATTTGCATGATGTAACTGGTGTAAAGAGCAGAAGACAAGAGGCCACAATTACCTTTTATGCCACTTACCGTGAGTAAGCATCACAGCTGCCTTCACAGTATGTTATCTCAACAGGTGCAGGAGATACACAGCCATTATAGTTGATGACAGTAGTCATATTGTGCTTCATACAAACTGAGGTCATCACAAAGCAAAGGAAAATAGGTTAAAATACATGTGTGTGTAAATAGATAGCTGTCTACCATATGATAGTTTGTAACTGAACACTAAGGTGGATGGAGCTGAAATAGGAAACTCAGTCACAGTGCATTTTTCTTTTAATTGCTGAGGGCCAGATGAAGACTTGCTGTTTGTTTTATCAGTGGATGAAACTTTTGCTTTTTCTTATGCATCTAGGTGCAGGATGCAGAAATTTAGAGCAGTACTGTGGCAACTGCTCGATGCACACCTGTCTCTCAGAACTGGCTTCACTTTCCTCCTTAAAGAGGATCTATCTGTGGAAATTGGGGAACAGTCACAGTCCTCACCCCCCCACAAAAATTCCACTGTTTAACAGTAGGGGATGGGAAAATTCTCCATCGGTTTCACAAGGACCTAAAATGCATAGTGGAAATGTCCTGTTCCTTTCTTTTCCACGTGTTTCCTTTCTCGCTCCAGTGAAGCAGTGAACCAGAACCTGGTCAGCTCACTTCTGTCTATGCACCCATTGTGCAAAACAGGCTAATATACCTAATAAGGTACATATAATCAATATTTTTAAACAAAATTATTATTATTACTTACGTTTCGGTATTCTTCGGCACACTAAACAGCAACCATCGTCAGATAACCTGACATCATCCTTAAGTGGAAAAACAAAAAGATAACCCAGGTTTCATTTCTGCATACTAAAGCAGACTTTTTCTGTTTCCTAATTTTCTCTGGCACCAGAGACTGTGTATTTTTTTGTGTATTGACATGGAATCTAACTTCAAGCAAGGCTAAATATTAAGGGCACTTCACTACTTTAATGTTAATAAGTGTTATTTTAAAATTGAAATGGAGGAAAACCCTCAGTTCAGTAGTATAATTTCAGCAAGCAATGAAGCTCGTAGCACATGTAAGACAAAATACTGTGACCAAAGGCAGTAGAAGTGAAGGATTATAACAGACAGGATAACAATGAATGAAATAACTGAATTGCCAGAGGCTAATTTTTGCTTCTAGGTCACTTGATACTTTTAGGAATCCAAAATATTAAGCTGTATCCTTTTCTCTAATGTCCAATCCACGGTGAGGATTGATATATCACTCGTTTTAATTTTTTTGCTTTTCTGAGATAAAATTTGACTGGGACCAGGTTCAGAGAGGATGAAAGGAGAGCTACTTCCTGCATGATGCTTCTGCTAGTTATTTTCATTGGACACCATGATCCTCCTATCACTGCTGTTAGGCACTGCAATCTTTCCAAAAATGAGAGCTGGTAGAACAGTACTTACTGGATCACACTCATCAGGGTTAAAGTCAGGACAGCTTGCCTCTTTGATGACTTGAATGAAGTGGTCACCATGCTTTTCACATGTGTAAACAGTACAGTTATCACCAGGTGGATTCCAATGTTCTCCTTCCTGAAAGTAGTCAAAATTAAAGCAAATTAAAGTCGTCTTATATAAAAATGAAACAAAAGCCCTGCAATGCCGTATTTTTTCTGTGTATAGTAGTTTGATTATGCCCAACAACTTCCTTGAATTTCAGCTGATAATTATTTGCCATATCATACTGCTATTGAGTGTTTTTCATTAACCAAGTGAAGAGGCTCTATTTTTATCTGGGTATAGATGTGCTTTTTGTGTGAATGGGGTAAGTACATGGACTCATTTGGAAAGAATAATTTGCATTTCAATAGCTCTGTCATTAGAATTTATGCATGTGTCAAAATGCCTCCACAGATAAAATTATCCTTTTGAGCAAAATATGTGCTACATTTTCAGAGCTGGAGGCAAACAAAAGCCCATTGCTTTCACCTATGTATTTTCCTATGTTGATTTCTGCAAGCCATTGTTCAGTGTCATATCACAGTTGCTTCCAGAAATCTGAGAAGTGGTATTTTGTGGTGTAAGGTACTGTTTAGGCTGTGTGGAAGCTGTCCAGTCCCTGCCTGAGTAAGCATTTATCTAATATGGGAAAAGATGGAGGAAATAAATGTGACAAATATGAGGAGAGGGAAGAGTGGAAAGACTAGCAGAGCTCCCCAAAAGTGAACTGAACCAGAGGTAGTTACATGGAGCACGTGTGTAATGTTGTCTCCCAGCGTCACTACACAAGCTGCTGCCTTGCATGTGCCGCAGCACTGTCCAGGTTCCACTGTGTATTTATAGCCCTGTTTTGAAAGAAACAGAGAGACAACAGCATTAAGAACTGATGGTGGCTCGAGCTGAGCGGGCTAGGAACTTCTGACAGCAGAGGAGCACTCACCAGCGGGCAGAATGTGTCACAGATAATGGGCTGGCATGTGACCCAAGGGTGGTGAGGGCTTGAGGGAGAGGATTCAGAGCAGGTACATTCTTCACAGGGGCCTGATGGAATGGCAGCTCCAGGCTAGGGGAAGTTGGAATAACCCATTATTAGTCAGCTAAAATAAGCTGCTCTGTGTATACATGTCACAGAAAATACAAAGATGAGCTATGTATAGGCTAAGTTATCCTTAAATACCATTCTGGTTGTTTTATTTAAGCAGAGTTTCTGGTTGGTAGTATTGATTTTGGAATCAAATTCTGCTAATATAGGAAGGAGAGCAGAAAATGCTTTTGCTTGTACAGGAGGGTATTAACCTCAGTGAAATAATGAATAATGTTTTATCTCAGGCCTTCCTACAAAATATGGACCGTGACAGATGTCTCAAAAACAGTGCACTGTGAAATATGTGAAGGTGTATTTTTATAGTGAATAACTCTGTGTACTTACTGCATAATAGGTTTCGTTGACTACACAGCCCTGTCCTGTAAAAAAAGAGGAAGGCGGTGTAAGTTTTTAGAGGCAGAAATGCATGAGAAAACTTCTGTTTCGTAGCCTACACCCTGCTTTGTAGGCCTGTGCGGCCTTAAAACGCTCATTCACGACAAGGCCCAACATGATAACACAGATAATTTGCGTTTCTCTTATCAGGTTTTTGTAACTTAGAAAAATACAGCAGTAAATAGCACATTAAGAGGGTGCATAATACTTACTGCATTCAAAGATAGGACAGCAGTTTCCAGATGGCATTATTGTGATTATTTCCTGTCCCTCTAAGCACTGGGGGGTGATATCAGGGCAGAGGCTTGTGTTGCAGTCTGTTTTATAAAAAAATTAACAGAAAATAATAAGCTCAGAATTTTTTAATTAAAACAGTTTTGTTTTACATGAACTTCTGAAGTTTTCCCATGGTGTTTAGAAATGGTGTTTACAAAAGACAGTTTAATTACTAATTCAGTCTATGTGCCAAGGTGTTTCCAGTGTGATTGGGCTTTCCCATAACCTTTGTAAAACAAAACTCTGAGAAGAACAGAGTGATAATTGCTGGAAAGAGATAATTTCAAACAGAAATTTGTGTCAGTGGGGAAATCTGATGACTCTCTCATCTGATAACCGGCTCTGGAACTTTCTTGAGAAATTTTTAAGTAGTCATGACTATTTTTTAAAGTTAATTTTCCTAATACTGGCCTTCGAAATAGAAAATGTTTTTAATGGTTTTTGAATATTGTTTCAGATAGTGGAAATATTAAAGGCTTTCAAAGTTAAATTATAGAAGATTTTCAGTTACTTTTCTATGTCTAACTATATAAAATATTTTAATCTTTAAATTTCTTATCTTAGGGCATTTACTGTATGCTCTGCAAGAACGCTCTAAAATGTGGGATGAGGGAGAAAAGCATTATTTTAAAATATATAAAATTATATAAAAGCATCATATTATATGGCATCAATGCAAAATATTAAAAAATGATAAATTATTGCTGTAGTTTCCTAAAATTAATATAGCACAGTCCCCATGATAAAGAACTAAGACAGTACTTACAGCACTCAGTCCTAGTACAGCATGGATCTTCCGGTATCTGTATCTGAACAGGCATGTAACCTGGTTCTTCACAAAATACTTGCTGTGTCAGAGAACATTCGTGTTTTGTGCACTTCACCTGAAGAGTATTTTTGTCACAGACACATTCCTGGCAATCTTTTGTCCATTTTTCTCCTGGCTAAATCAAAAAGAAAAACACAGACAAAGGATGGGAAAAAAAAAATTAAATATAAAAATAAACCAAAACTATTTTATTTGCTCCTAGTTGACATATTCATGCATATAGTGATAACTGATTTTATTAGTTTTTTCATATTTTATATTTTGTAGGAGACCCTCAAAATACTTATTAGGGGAAGATACTGGAGGCCATTAAAGATTCTGAGTTCACAAAGCTATTACTTTCTATTTGTTAATAGTGTTACTATGAGGGTTACAGGAGTTTTAAAGGAGAAGTGATTGAGCCTCACATCCATTTTTGAGAAAGAAATGATCATATGACATACTCATTTTCACATTAGGTTGCTGATTTCTCTGCAGCTGAGGAGCTAAGAATGCAGGCTATGAACACGATAAGCAACAGGTAAACTTTGTTATCCATCTCTCCCTTCATTTCTAGTCATTTTAGTAAGCCAAATTAGTGGAAATGAAATAAGCATATATGCCTAACTTGCACTACTACCATCTCTCTCTTTCTCTCTTATTTTGTTTAAGTTTTTTTTTTCTGTGTGAGAGGTTATTGAAAGAATATTTTATCACTTACTGTTAAATTTCTTAGGGGTGCTATAGCACTCCTTATTTTTAAGACTAAAAGTGAACAAACATTTGTGACAAAGCTTTGGTTTAGTGGAACACTAAATATCATCTTGTTTCACTTGTCTGTGTTCATTAAGCCACACTCATTGTGATACTCACCCATCTGGACATTCCATTTGGTTCTCTGCAGACTGGAAAGAAAAAGAAAAAACAGACAAACAAATGAATGGGTATTTACACCACTGAAAACTGAGAAAGGAGTACATATGTGCAGCTTCAAATAAAAATACTGTGAAGATAAAGCTAATAGGAAAATGAATATGCAGACTAATTTTGCTGAAAGGTAGAGTTCCACTATCTTGGTGGGTCTCACATAAGGATGATAGGGGAAAAAAAGGTAATATTGACTATTACTCAATTTGTAACTGGGGACACTTAGGGAGGCTGATTTGCAATGATCTGACCAGGTATAAAATGACTATAGAACTCAGGCCTCCTGACTAACAATCCTGATCTCTATTTATTCCCCAAACTAGCTATAGATGACTTACCACATTCAGAGACACAGATGTTGCTCTCTGCACGCAAGAGTGTCATTCCTTCAGGGCAGAAACAGCCTTCAGTTACTCCATAGCCAGGACGCTCATAGCTGGAATAGGAAGAATACACGTGCTTGAGTACAGCACTTTTGTGGTGAGGCAGGTGACAGAGCAGCATGTCGTGTCAGATACAAGAGAGACAAAAAATTTACACTTCCTGAAGGGCAACACGAAGCATATGTTCCTAGAGCTGATTGGTATTTACAAATCTTGAATAAGTTAGTGAAATTAATACATTTCATTATGAAATAATTCAAATTTCTGAAGAAAGTAGATAGATAAGAAAAACATAAGCAGGTGTTTCAGGGTGGGTTTTTTTTGTTTTCCATACCTTTGGTCACAGGTAACTGGATTGATGGGCCCGCATGGCTTGTATACCAAGCTTGATGGACAGCTGAATGCTGTATGGAAAAAGACAATTAAAAATTGACAATAGGTGCTTTTTTTTTTTTCCAGAAAAATTACTACAGCTTTGCCTTCTTCATATGAAGCTTCTGTGAGAAAGGACCCCACTGGATTTTTGTAGACAGTAACCAAGTATCAGATATATTCATGTTTAGTGACTAAAACACTAATTTCTTAGTGTTTAACACCATTTATCACACACATTTTGATTACTGCAATACTTACAACATGTATTGTTGGTCATTCCTCTCCAGTCAATGCAGACACCTCTAGCAGCACACTCTGTGGCATATATCTCCAAACTGGAACACTGCATGGATTCATCGTCTATGCGACATCCATCAAAAACACAGCCTTTGAAAAATGGTTCTGGTGGTATCACTGTATGACATTCTGCAAAAACCCTGCAGGCAGTAAAGAAAGCAACCCCCTTCTATGTTAATGAGCCATTATACAAAGTCTGTTCCTGTCAGAAAACACTTTCCAGTTAATAGCATGTGACTCTGCTTCATAAAGCAAGGTATGAGAAACAAAACCTTAGGAATGGCCAGTAAACTAAGAAATCTGAAGTGTATTTTTTTTCTAAAGCTGATAATGGTCATAGTATTTCTGTATATGTACACAACTTTTTATCAGTTTGACACCAGAAATTTAGTGTAAAAGACAACTGCACCAGATTGAGAAAAAAAGAAATGAAAAAAAAAAATCTATAGAAAATTCACACATAAAAATAGCTCCAAACTTACTGGATATTACAGAAAGCATGTATAAGACGGCCTTTATAAGAAACTCATCTAAAAAAAGCTTTTGTCAACCTACAAAGGTAAAGGAAATATACCTATATATATTTATAGGAAATACCTATATATATTTATAGGAAATTGATCTATGATTCGTACTGCAGACCCACTAGAAATTTAGAGTTCAGTCTTTGTTTAATAGTTAATAAACATACTCTGGAAGTATTGCATCCAGGGAATATTGATTTTAGTACTTGCTGCATCCCTGATTTTCTGATTTTACCTCTCCTTGCTCAGCTATCTTTGGCACGCAAGTTATTAAGACCAGTTTCTTTTGCGAAGGCCTTTTACTACTTATCTCCTTTCTTTAAGCTGACATTTTCAGCTATTATCACATGTTAAAGCTATAGCTGTTACTCTGCTTGTGAGATACTGAGACAGTTTTGTCTAGAAAAAATGAATTTGTTTTCTTACTCGCTCAAGATAAGCTTGCAGAGCAGAGGTGTTTGACATTGCGGCTTGGGTGGAGGTGTTGTTATAGTTGGTGGTACTGGTATTCCATGGCACGACTTGTTGTCATCAACAATCCAGTGATGAGCCATTTGGGGACAGGAGGAAATTATCTTGCCACTTGGTAAGCGGCATTCATCTGCTTTATTGTTTGTACATGTTCCTGGAAGAGACAAGCTGCGTAAGTCTCACAAGCCACATCAGAGATGCACAATACACTCCTGGGCTGATATGTTTAGGTGTGATGTGCTCATGAAATGCATATTTTACCTTGCTTCGTAGGGAGCACTTTCTCTAGTTATATGAACTTTAGGTTATGGTAAAACAAACGGATGTAAAACCCTAGCCCCAAAGAAATACTGAGCCTTTGACATCCTACAGAAGTTGAAAAGCAGAACTGTATTAATTTCCATTTACTGCTGTCTAAAAATTTCTGTAAATTGTAAGACTGCATAGCCAGAGTGGATGAGAATAACCAAAGCAGGGGTGGGGAAAGAGGACCCCCTCCAATCTGAGCATTCTTCTTACCACATTGTCCTTCCGTATTGTTTCCAAATTTGCTGTAAGGGAGCTTCACAGAGAAAATCAGACCACTAAAGGTGATGACAGCACCAATTTCTTCTATTTCAACAATCATATTGATGCCAAGAGTGGAGAAAGAAATGCCATCTTTTTTGAAGCCTGGTTCAACAATCTTTTTGTTGAAGTACATCTGAATGCAGGGTTAATAAAATGAAACAAAACAAAACACCATGTCAGAGTAAGTACTGCTTCTGCCTAATTGTTTTAAATAATACATTTTCTAATCTTCATAATTATGCATAACTCTATATTGTTATTCATTACATCCAGTTCCCATTGGCATCCTAATGACAGCATATATGTGCATTGATATCTTGGCTTGTATTGCTATATTGCTAAAATGTGATAATAATCTAAGTGGCCTCCATGTACTGTGTTTGTGCTTATTGTATGCTAATGCACAGTATTCTATAAATAGAAATCCAAGTATTTTCATTTTATCCCTCATTATTTTGTGTACTGGAAACATTTTCCATATAAAAATGAGTGGTAGTTTTCTTTAGCTGCAGAAACATCCCTGCCATTATTATGTAATAACTTTGCCATATAATCATACCATCTCTGTATTACATAGTAATTGCCATTGGAAGACTTTTCTGAATTCAAAAGAAAGTCAGGAAAACCCTTAGTGCCAGTTTTATGTAGTAGTGATCATATTTATTTGTTAAACTTTTCAATTTGTAGCCAGTATCTTATATGAGATAATAAAGGTAAACATATTAGCCAAATAGTTTTTTGTCAGAAGTTATTCTGCAACTCTCTCCTCACTAAATCAGGCTAAAGCAGGAGTTAAAATTGTCAGTTACTGTTTTCTTTTGCAGGGAATCACTGCAGCCAACATGTGTTTCTGACTGAGAATTTGGCATGACACTGTAAGGTGGGAGTGCCTATTCAGACAAACTTTTCTCTCTCTCTAGATTCTCTGATCAACTAATAGATTCTCCAGTGTAAGAGTGGGACTATCTTCTCATTTTAATTGGTTTTCCAACACTACTTTAGTTCATGAATGTGAGGTAACAGTCTAAGTCACCCCTTTTTTTCAGCTATACCTTTCTTCACAGTAAGAAGTTGAAGGAGGAGTCATGTCAGGGCTGTTTGGTGCCTGAAGTTCCATATGTAGAGAAAGCAGTCCCTAGTCATACAATGGATAAGGGATACATATACATCTTCCCCCAAAAGAAGACTCCTGCTTAAAATTCGCATTTGTACGTCTTCAAAGTGTGTTTACATAAATGTGTGGCACAATGTACCAGTTTTCATGAGATATGGATTTTGTTCTTATTTTCAATAATTGCAATCTTTTTTCTCTCCCCCGCCCCAGTGATACCCTCTGCCCTGATCCACCTCCATGATGTAATATTCTAACAGACTGTATTGCAGAATAGCATTAGTAAGGCTTAGGGACGCTACTTCTTTTTTGCAAAAAATATTTTGAAAAAAATATTTACCACATTGGTCATCACACCATTCATGAGTTCACGAGTCAGGAGCACTTCTGCAGATTTGTAGAAAATAATAATGGATTTAGGGCAAGAGAGCCCATCTTTTGCATCACAGTAGTAGTTGTCAATGTAAACACGGAAGTTGTCATATCTAGGGACAATCTGTTTCACCAGGACATAAGTGCAGTTTTCAAGGAAGGTATAATAGATTCCATCAAAAGTAATGTAATGAGGATCACCCCATCCACTACAAACACCTGGTAAAGAGAAAATATTTGGAAGATTAAGATGAGAATTTATGTAGAAGAAAACATAAAACCTAAAGATACTACAATTTATAGAGCAAGCCTAAGAAACTAAAATGCCCATATAATCTGTTTAAAGCTTGCCTTCCTTTTTTTTCAAAAGGCGTTATTTCTGAATCAATTGGTGCTTACATTGACACTCATATCGGTAACAGCATCCATTTTCATCTGGTACCAGCACTGGTGGATATCTGTTCGCACAGGTAATTTCCTTTACGGGTGGGCAGACCGTTGGTACTACATCTATATCGTTGTCTCCATTACAGATCACTTCTGTACAGTTGGATAATTTGAATCTTTCTCCAGGCTGCACAATGAAGGAAAATTTTTTGTCACAAAACTCTGCAAACAGGTATAACCTTTACTCCTCTTTTTAGATTTATGCTATAATTTTTCCAGTAATGGTGGTGTCGAAAAGGAAATTAGTGTGTGTTACTACTCTTCAGTTTGTGGTTTAGTGATTTTTGAAGGCAACTAGAGGTATTCAAAACACTGACCATATTATATGAGATAGAAAATGCGTACTTTTCTAAATCTAAAAAAAAAAAAAAGACTAAAACTAAAATCTTCAGTGATAGAAAAAAGTTGTCAATATTCTACAAGATTTTTTTTTAATGCAAAAAGGAGGTAGGGACCTTAACTGCACTTGCTGCTTCTGCATGAGGAGCTCTTCTGGGGCTTGGGAGACATGTATTAGGTTACAGGAAATTATTTCCTCTATTCTATGTACAGCATACCTCAAGGTCAACAGAGAACATAACAATGGAGAAAGTTTAAAGGAGTAAAGATAAAAAGACAGGAGAACAGAAACATATAAAAGCCTTCACTCTATTTTAAATACTTCCCTGTACTGAAAAAATAAAACCCACAAGAAAACTCCTTCTATTATGTCAGTGAAAAGATACCCTAAATGCACAATGCACCAGAGAGTCATATTATATATATATTACTATATATATATATGTATATTAAAAATATAGTAACAATAAAAGAATATTGTAACTTGATCTAGCAGTATAAAAAACTGAAATTCAGGAAAGGGAACCTCAAATATTAGGTCCTATATATATTGCTCATCATTAGCAAAATAATTAAGACAATCAGCATGTGTAAGGTTTAAACACTACATATTGTTCCAATGTGCTACCACTCAAAAAAGGATACTACTCCAACAGTCAAAAAATAACACAGAAGTTACGTACTTGTAATGGAGGATAAAGAGCGGAAACACAACCATGAAAAACAACACTTGCAGAGGTGGGACGCAAAGGAACTGATGTTGTTACTGTAGACCACTCAGAGGAAGTAGTGGCCGGTGAAGTAGAGACATTACAATTCCCAGTGTGTCGTTCAATATCACATGTTGGGCTACAAATGGCATAAAATCTGCATCCATCACTATCCATTCTATTGTAAATCAAATCACCTGAAGAAAAAAGAATATGAGGAAATATTAAAAAAAATCAAAAAATATAAAAAGTAAGAAAGGAAAAAAAAAACGTTCATAAGAAGAAAAGTGATAAAAAGCAAAAAGAGAAAAAAATGAAACAAAGAGGTATCAAAAACATATAAACTAACCAGGAGAAAAAACTGCATCACCAATCTTGCAGAAACATGGCGTAGTAGAAACCACAGGTGGAGATGAGGTAAAGAAATGTTCACTATGTGTAATAATTGTGGATGTCCTAGTGGTAGTTAAAGGGGTGGAGAACGAGCAGTTGTAGTTGGGGGTGCAGCAGAGCACGCGGATCTTGTAGTTGAGGCACATCTTGAATTTGCCCGTCTGGTCCTCGTTCTTGCACACCAGTCCAAAGTGGACGTCGCACTGCACGACCTGTCCCACCTGCTGGATGGCAACGTCGGGGTAGTCCTCCGCCCGGCACTCGATCTCCTTTGGCTGCCGGCAGATTCGCTTGCCGGCGGCGCGGATGTGTTGGTAGGTTTCAAAGTCTCCCTGGTTGGGCCCCGAGGAGGGGAAGTCAACGTCAAACCACTCGCTCCAGGTGCACACTTCGGGTTGACAGGTGGTGGTGGAGGTGGTGGTGGACGTCAGTGGCGTGGTGCTGGTGGAAGTGCTGATTTCCGTGGAGGTGGGACTGGTGGTGGTGAAGGTGTAGGGCGTGGAGGTGGAGGTGGTGACCGGGGAGGAGGTTGGCAGCGTTGTGGTCGCGGTGCTGGTGGTGGGGCTGCTGTGGGTGGAGGGGATATGGATGGAGCAGTTGTAGTTGGGGGTGCAGCAGAGCACACGGATCTTGTAGTTGAGGCACATCTTGAATTTGCCCGTCTGGTCCTCGTTCTTGCACACCAGTCCAAAGTGGACGTCGCACTGCACGACCTGTCCCACCTGCTGGATGGCAACGTCGGGGTAGTCCTCCGCCCGGCACTCGATCTCCTTTGGCTGCCGGCAGATTCGCTTGCCGGCGGCGCGGATGTGCTGGTAGGTTTCAAAGTCTCCCTGGTTGGGCCCCGAGGAGGGGAAGTCAACGTCAAACCACTCGCTCCAGGTGCACACTTCGGGTTGACAGGTGGTGGTGGAGGTGGTGGTGGACGTCAGTGGCGTGGTGCTGGTGGAAGTGCTGATTTCCGTGGAGGTGGGACTGGTGGTGGTGAAGGTGTAGGGCGTGGAGGTGGAGGTGGTGACCGGGGAGGAGGTTGGCAGCGTTGTGGTCACGGTGCTGGTGGTGGGGCTGCTGTGGGTGGAGGGGATCTGGATGGAGCAGTTGTAGTTGGGGGTGCAGCAGAGCACGCGGATCTTGTAGTTGAGGCACATCTTGAATTTGCCCGTCTGGTCCTCGTTCTTGCACACCAGTCCAAAGTGGACGTCGCACTGCACGACCTGTCCCACCTGCTGGATGGCAACGTCGGGGTAGTCCTCCGCCCGGCACTCGATCTCCTTTGGCTGCCGGCAGATTCGCTTGCCGGCGGCGCGGATGTGCTGGTAGGTTTCAAAGTCTCCCTGGTTGGGCCCCGAGGAGGGGAAGTCAACGTCAAACCACTCGCTCCAGGTGCACACTTCGGGTTGACAGGTGGTGGTGGAGGTGGTGGTGTTGACAGGTGGTGGTGGAGGTGGTGGTGGGTTTTGGTGTTGTGCTGCTTATTACTTCTGTGTAATTTTTTTCTGTAGTTGGTTTTGATGTTATTCTGGTATGTATGTAATCTGTTTTTGGTTGGACGGTGTATTCAGTTGTTGTCCTGTGTTTTGTTTGTAAACTTAATGTTGTTGGTCCTTTATTGGATGTTGTTCTTGACCAAACTGTAGTTGGTTCTGTTGTTGTAGTAACACTTTCAGGGGTTGTTTCGCATGGTACACTTATATTTATGCAGCATTTAAATCTTAATTCATAATTATAGCAGATGGGTGGCAGTTGATCTTTGTTGTAACATTTCAACCCTTCTTCTGTGTTACATGTTATGTGTTGCTCTAGTAGAGGGTATGGCGTATTCGGGAACCGTACTGCTCTGCATTCCACATCCTTTCTATTTTCACAAACTTTGTATCCTTTGTTTTTAATGTTCTGAATGGTGTCAAAATCTCCATCCTCGTAACCTGACCCTGGATAACTGACATCATACCATCTTGACCAGTAACATTTTTCCTTGAAACAAAGAGGAATTGTTGAAGGGGATGTGGTGACCGGTGTCATCATTTTAGTTGTGGTTGTTGTTCCTTCAGTAGTCGAAGGTGTGAATGTTGTACGTTCTGTAGTAACTGAATGTGTTGTTTCAGTAGATGTTTCTGTCGGAGCTGAAGTTGTGACCTGGGTTGATGTGCTCAGAGGCGTTGTGGAAGAGCATGGTACAAAAACACAGCAGAGGATTCTTATTTCATAGTTGTTGCACATTGTTGAAATTTGATCCTTGTTGTAACATATCAGGCCGTTCGTTGTACTGCATTCTACTTTTTGGCCAAGGTCTTTCAGTGGTATATCAGGGAATTTTTCTGCTCTACATTCCACAGCCCTTGGAGCTTTACAGACTTCATATCCTTTTGCTTGTAAATCATGAAAAGTTTCAAAATCTCCCCCATCATAGCCAGGGGTTGGCAGACTCCCATCATACCATTCTGACCACGTACAGACTTCATGAACACATACTGACGTAGTTGGTGACACTGTAAAGGATAAAAGGAAGAGACAATGAAATTAAGAATTAATTCCTATGGATACCATCTTTTTTCTTATTTTAATTGGGCTGACAATTTTCCTAATGTCATTTTTATTGAATTATGCTCCTGTAGTTTATTAGCATTAGTTTATTATATATATAATTTGTTGTAGAACAGAAAACAAACGAACAAACAAAAAAATCAGCCACTCTGCAATTTAATGTAGTGACAGGCTGCCACTTCCAAGGAGAATACAAATTATGTGTTACAAGGTGCTGAAATAAGGCTCAGGTCTAATTTATACACATTGGAAAAAAAGCAACTCTCACATGTTTTGCGTTTGGTTTAGTGTTACTCGCTTTGGTTTTATCTTGCTTCATTATACACTAGTCTCTCTGGAATGTATTGAAATCAGTGCAGAGTTTAGTGTATGCACTGAGATCCACAGCTACATTTTTCTTCCAAATCAGTTGACTCCTCACTTTATTATCTTTGCTCCTCCATTTCAAGCATCCCTACACTTTCTATTTTAGCTGTGATATTAAGAAACCATTTATTGATTGGAGAGCTTTTTCAGGTCAACTCTCATTTACTAAATTGATGGAAAAATAGCTACTGAATTCCAGCAATGCTGATATTTTCTGCAATTTCAAAACTTATACGTTTTATACTCAATACTGATTTCAACATGCACCCAGAGTAACTAGAAATTCCCAACCTTAAGAATGCTGTACAGGAATCCTAAAAACCAAAATTTCATTATCTCAATGCCAATGTCTGAGCAATCCACTTAATATTGTAAAATCTACTTTTCTCACTAAAGAAGAGAATATGCCCTAATGGACTACAAAGGATGTACCTGTGGAAGTAGTGGTAGCTGGTGTAGAACTGAAGTGAAATGTCGTTGCTGTTGTGGGTGCTGTTGAGGTTAGACAGTCATGGATAAATCTTTGAAGCGTTCCATTAGGACCACAGGTTGCAACAATACACCATCCTGTGCCATCTGTAGTGTTGTAGACCACATCGTTGTAGTTGTATTTCTGCCCCTCATAAATGCACACACATTCTGTAGATTAAAACAGGATGTTATTCCATGCTATCTGAAACACAGAGTACCCTAAATATGTCTTATCCATATAGAAATGACTTCATCAACATACCATGTTCATCATATCTGCATTCTTTGCCATGAATTGTGCATTCACTGAAACAGAGAAAAACAGGTTATGAGTGTGGGCATACTGGTTCGTGACATCATTTTTTGTTTTAGTTCTCTTCTATCAAGCCTTTGCTATTCATTGTGTGTTTAAATGTAAAATGACTATCTCCTCTGAGTTAGTAATTTCTGCTGTACATTCAGACTAGGCATCTTCACAAATTCTCTGGCAAGAAAGGTAGCTCTTCTTTGAGCCAGCATATAAAACATGCAGCATCCCTACAAGTGCTGTCAGGAACAGACGAGAGATGGATGATTTGAAATATTCTTATCTCCCCAACAGGTCTCTTTATTTTTTGGAAGAGAAAAGCTCAGTAAATGTATAATTTATATTTACAAAGATATACACAAAGGATCAATACCATGGACATTGATGTAATCTACACAGTGAATTTTCATTAGGCTTCCAAAATATGCAAGAAGAACCCTGGTTTTAGGCACAATTTATCAATTAAAAGCTGAATCTTGATGTATTTATTTACAGGGTCTAAGGACATTTACACACTGAATAAACTGAAATTTAGATATGTATTTAATGGGTTAGGTTTATTGCTGTTAGTGGCCTAGATGATATAGGTAAAGGCATCTATGAAGTGCAAAACCTGCCAAGGAAGTTGGTTTAGCTCCAATGGGCTTTGGCTTAAGATTTTTTTTTTATTTTTCAGATTGCACTGCTTACCATATTTAAGTGCAGCTACATTAGAGGTATCTTAAGACAACTGCTCCACAATTGGTTTTGCTAATTCTGTACTTAAGCCTTACAGAAGGCTTGGGAGCACTATATCACAGGGTAATGCCATGAGAGTAAGTGCTGACTGTTGCAATTCTGCAAGTACCAGTGCAATAACAGAAACAAGCTCAAAACAATGTAGATGAGTTGGCTGCTAACTTCTAATGAATTTCACATGAGTTTAGGGATATCTTTTATAAAAATTCTCAGACTATTCTCTAACTGAAATAATTTTAGCTTGTTTTCACTTCATTTAATAATAATAACAACTTAAAAGGACTTTAATAAATATATAAAATAAGTAGTAAACTAATCTCTCGATGATAAAATATTTCACTGTGTTATCATTTAATTCCCTGGGAAGGGAAGGAAATCAGACATTGTTCATCAGCCCCTGACTGGCCTAGTTCCTGCTGACAAATAATTCATCACACATTTAACTAATTATGTTCCACAATTTTAAACTATTTTTAAAATTCTTTTCTAATCCTACCATGATTCACAATTCTGCTTTGAAGGCATCTCCATTCCTGGTTTGTAATTTTTTCCATCTTCATAACAACCACAATTAGAAACACAGATCATGGTTTCCTCATCAAAATAGGGCTTATTTTTGGGACATTGTGGATAGCAGCCTGCAATGAAAAGAGAATCAAGTTGATACTAGGCCTTTCATAAGTAACTCTACACTAATATCTGCTTTTCCCAAAATGTCTCACGTAGTAAGTGGAATTTCAGACCCTCTTACTGCTATTCCTTTGACTGCACATCATGCTTTGGAGTGTTTTATCCTCATCTTCACTCCAAACAAGTATGTAATCCATTAGGATATATACAATAATACAATATTAATTAGAAAATATCTTCTTATAATTTCTAGTGCAAACATGTCATACACTGAAAAATACAATTTTTGTTCACTATACTGCATTTTAACCTTTCAAGTAGAATGAGATATGCATAGTTATGTTTACCTTCCAAACCCCTCATCTCATGAAGACATTTCCCACTTGGATTATTGCAGGTCTTCATACAAGGTGCTCCACATGGCTTGTAGTGCCACTCACATTCCCCTTGTGGATTATAGTAATCACAGAACAGAGCTATAAAAAGAAATGTCAGAAAAATTTATTTGATGTTTTAGCTCTATACTCTTTCAGGGGTTTTTTGGTAAAAATCCAGTGGGACCAGCATAATCACATAGATGGTGAACAATATATTGTCTTACTGCTAACACAATACAATTGTTATAGTTCTAAAACCTTTTAACAGCAATAAATATATATATCATGAAACAGAGTTACACATTAAACATGAAAAATCAGTTGACTGAAACACTGATCTTAGCTAGTGTGCACTAATGTTTATTTACATAGAGCCTGATGCAGACAGGTAGCAGTGCAATAAAATATCATATTTCACCAGTACTCTATCGTGATTGTCAAGTTAATTAGACACTAATCACACCACTTGTAAAATTATTACCTGTGGTTTCATTTTACTAAGATAGATTGTCTTCTAGTGATTTACCCAACTGCTTTGTTGGGGTTTTTTAGGATTATTTTTTTTGGTTTTGTTTGCTATTTAAGCATACAGCTGTGCCTCTTAGAAATACAATTTTATCCTTCCTTTCCTGTTCTACTTTGTTTCCTTTTTTCCCCCCTTCTGTTTTCTTTCCCTCTGAACCCCTTAGAAAAGTAGTGGGTTAAAACTCACGACAAATGGATGGGGTTCTCCATGATATGCAGATGTCCAGCTCATTACATGCTTGAGCGTAGGCAGCTACTGCTGTGCAGAAACATTCACAGTCTCCTCCAGTGTCGCAGGCACAAGCATCATCCACACAGGCTTGGTAATACTCATTTGGTTCAACCTGATGGAAAAAACATTCAAGTTTTCACACCCTTGTCCTCTTTGCACTGTCCTAAAATAACTGGATAAGATATCTGAAACTCATAGCTCTGTATGTGAGAAAGCTAGGAAAAGAAGAAGTCATGAGAATGCTTTGAAAAATCAAGAGGAAAATGTAGATCAAAGCTATTGCTAGTAAGCTGGAATATTAAGAACTGTTTGATGTTGAAGACAGTTGCAAAATATTGGTAATTACTACAAGCTAGCACAGGGTCATACATATCAGGTGGCTGATATTTATTTTATAAATTTTTTATATTTTTCTATATTAGTAGAGAATGATGCCATTAGAAAATAAACGTATCTTGAGATCTATTGTTGTTCCTTCTATTAAAAACAAACAAGCTAACTAACCAACCAAAACAAACAATTTCTCTAGTGTACTTGCTCAAGACAAAAACTGAGAAAATATAAGTGAAAATATTCCTATGCAGTCTTTGTGTAGGAACTTGGTCTAACTTCACTTTGTCAATCATGACACAATGTATTTAAGAGTATTTTTTAATCTATTTCACATAAAAATGGATGTAAACATTTTGTCAAGAATTTAAGACTAAATTTTTTGTCCTACCTGTGAGTGACAGTTTGCAAACACTTCACTGGTAATGATGCTGCATTGCTTCTGTGCCCAGGCTTTCCTGTATGGGTTTGCAGAGCATGGATCCTGGGTACGATTGGCATCTGGGCAACTAGAAGACACTTTCCAGCTATTGGCAAACTCCAGCACATTTCCTACCACAGACTGACTTCGAGTAGTGAAGTCATTATTTCCATTGCCATCATAGTTTCCACAAAGTCCACACACATGGCCCTGCATCAGGATAAACAAACAAAATTACAAGGATCCCATAAGGTACAATTTCTTACTATCTGCAAGTAACAGACCTCAGGATGAGTCTCATGTAACCATCTTAAATAAGATTATTAATGCCTATTTAGTAACGGTGTTGGTCATTTTCTTAAAACCCTTTTCATGAAGAGATGTCTCTAACTTGCTGCTCAGAAGAAGGAGTAGACTGATGGGTTTTGTTTTAAGTACTGAGCTATTTAGTTTCAGATGATCCTAAATATGTCTCTTCAGTGAGGGCTTTTCATGAAGAAAACTACTGATAAAGTTGCTGTTATGCCATTGCTGAATAATATAATTCAAGGATACTGCATAGTACACAATTTAAGTCAACACAACAAGGATATCAATATGTGATTTCTGCTCTTTTGGCTACAGTCTTCTGGTTTACAGCCTAAATTTCCACCCTCTTTCTTTGAGAGATAATAGGAATGTTTTGCAGAATTTTATACATGCTTTCACTTTTAAAGTGTACCTGAAAGCTGGGACTAAGTTTGATGAATATACTGGTTTTCTTGTCCCACATGAGTATCAGACCAACAGTAGTGTCAACCACCATGTAGATGCCCATGGAACGGATTTGGAATGGCATTTTTCCTCCAGGTGTCCTCTGGATGACATCAGAGTGTCCATCACTGAGTACCAGCTCATAGTTCTAAGACAGGAGAAGAAAAACTTAGAGGCCAATTAAAAAAGTCACCTATTTTGTTGTTTTGTATATTGACAGTAACTTCTTGAAATAATAATATTATCATCAAAAGGATCCTATTTAACAACCTCATGTTAAGAAATTTCTCTGTAGAGCTCCCTCCTTAGCTTTTTAGAGCAGAGAGCAAACAAGTCTAGTCACATTTGCATTATCTTGGAGGCCACTTCTCCTATGCAGTCTATCTGGGACCACATGTTTCATCCTTCTGGCACAACTTAAAGAAAATACTTACACCCAAGAAAACTTTAATAGACTTAGAGCAGGTAGTTCCTGTAGTGCCACATGGTATGTTCTCAGTGATGACTCTGAAGGTTCCCTGATTCATAGCTTGTTGACCACAGTAGTTCTGAAATAGGAGAATGATATTCACTGTTAACTATGCTACATGTTCATACCTAAAATTCAAGGTATTTAGAGCAAAAATCTAGGCAGAACTCCCTTACCTGGACCAGAACATATTCACAGTCTCCTTCAAAGTCAAAGCGTTTGCCATCAAAGGTGGTATAATGCCCATCTCCATAAACAGAACATGTTTCCAGGCAGGGTTCCTCAGAGCATTGCCATTTTCTGTTTCTACATGTGCTACACAAGACAAAAATCACTCCAAATGTAAAAACCAGACAAACACACAATATAAATATAGGTACATTTCTGTATTTTAAAATGTTTTAAGATTCTACTGAAAAAATAAGGTTTGCTTATTCTCAAAAATGCAGCATAGCACAAGAACTATTGGAATTTATCCAAAGACGTATTTACTTAATAATGTAATGAATCATATGCATTAGAAAACACCAGTTCTTTCATATTTCCAGATCCTGTTGGATCTATTAATTGGAAGGATTTATTTAGAAGAAACAAAAAGACTTTTTGACTCGAATGAATATGACAACATCAAAACCATAGTGCTTTTCTGACCACTTCCAATTTCTGGGTGGTGCCATTGAGAAAAATTAGACAGAGCTTGCTGTTTAGGTACTAAAATGCTTTTTAGGATCATTTTATGCAGGATTCCTTCCTAGAAATCTTGATACTGCTAGAGTGAAATGATGTTATTTGCTTAGAACTTAAAATGTTCTATTTTTTATTCCCAAAATATTATTTTTCAATATGCCCTTACCAGTTGTTACAGCCAACTCTGATTGATTCTCCTGGACTGTAGGAATTCCCATTGTGAATACATGGACAGTCTTCTGGAGCTATACAGCCACCTTTGCCATCCAACACTTGATCATGAGGACATACACAGCCAGAGACACAGTGAGTTTTGTACTGTAGGGACCATAAAGAAAACATGTTTTGAAACATTTCCCTGCTGGAAGAGTCCAGTTGTAGCTGGTAATTGTAAAAGAGATCTTGAGTAATATGCTTTCAACTAGGTATAAGAAGTCTGTACTTACACATTCCATGTCTAGAGTCTGACAGCTCTTCTGGCATCCTGCTCCTACCACATTTGCAGTGCCATTGCCACAGTCAACATAAACCATGGGAGGCACACAGACTGAAAGAGAAGAAAGCCATGAGAAATGTGAGACCAACCATGCATTTGTATCTTTGTGTTTCCAAGAAAAAAAAAATGGAAATACTCCCTTGTGAATTATGTGTACCTTAATGTGATGTCTTTAGTGAGAAAGAAACCAAAATATGAGATGTTTTCATCTCATATTCACCCGGTTTTTGTGATTTTGCTTGCACTATTCAATAAAATTAATTTTTAGTTAGCTTCATAAAACAACTCCTTTCATAAAGACAGAAAAAACTAGGATAATAAATATCCTGGTTTACTTGTTTGGGTTTTTTTTAGTTTGGTTGTTTTACATATGAATTAAAATGTGAATAGTTTTCCCCTCACATTGAGTGAGTTGACTAAGTATCCTTTTACCCTGGGTAACCAGGGGGTTCTAAGTTGTTTCAGCCACCTGAAAGGTGTTTCTTTATATTGAGAATGTCCTCTACATTACAGAAATTCTCAATTAATTTTCTTGGTTGATTTCAGATTTGTACAATTTGCAGCATTATGACAAGAAAGGAAAGAAATTAAAAGAGTGAAGACAGAAATGGAGAATTAAAGAAAATCTTAAGTGATATGTTACCTGGTTCAGGCTTCTCTCCAATGCAGCTCAGCTTTCCATAGGCGCAAGTGCTATAAAAACAAGGGAATGAATATTTTTTAACGTTTTCTTGTTAAGTTTCAGCCCATTTCCCAATAAACTTGAAATAATGAAAAATTACTGTGTGATAGAACAAATAAAATGTGTCCTTTATCAAATAGTTTGCACATTTCAAAAATATTAATGTTCTATATTAGAGTATAACAAAATAAAAGTAGATTCTATATAAATAAATGCTTGCTCTGTCTATATGCCTGGTTTAAAACTGTCCTTCAGAATAGTTCAGATTCCCATCATAATGGGAATAATCTGTAACAAGATCATCAGGCATCTTTCACCATGGAACAAGCCTTTTACAGTCATGGGTAAGAAAAACATGTGTGGAGGCAAGGAAGAAAGGGAGGCACGGAGAAAGGGACAGGGTAGGAGTTTGGTTGTTAGCAAAGGCTGACCCAGCACAGGACTGTTTGTTGAATTCCTATACTTGTTTATGTACAAACTTCCAAACACAGGTAGCCCTAAGAATTTTTTAAGCTATGATTTTTTTAAGTGAAAATTTCAGGCATAGAAATTAATTTCATTTGATGTCATAACACTTATATGGTTTCATTATTGCCTACATATATATATTTACTTTTAACACAAATCTCTTACCAGACAACACCATTATCATGAACAACTTCTCCAGAAGACAGAGGCATTCCTTTGTAGTAACAGGGACAGCTAGAAGCAGGCACACATTTGCCACTGTCATCCATGTACGTTCCATTTATGCAGGTACAGCCATCAACTGGGACAAACTTGATGCTGCATGTGACATCAGGCTCACTCAGAGACCGGCAGGTGGGTTGACAGGAATTGACATTGTAGGTGTACGTCAAGGACTTCGGACACAAGGTGGTGTATTTTGCTTGGGAATAAGGAAGTGAGTTACATTTGTTGTTAATTCAAGAATCAATATAGGTATAAAGTAGTTGTGATAAAGTATATATGATTAACATGGCATTGTATGTACATATGCTTTACTGACAGCTCCAGCAGCATCACTTTTTGTAGTACTAAAGCAAAATTTTCCCTTATGACTGTGTCAAATGTTTTGCCCAAGTTAAAAAAAAGAACAAAGTTCAATTATATTAAGACAGTGTGTTTCTTTCTCTATGCTATTTTTATACTTTTTGTCAAAGTAAGTTGAGAAACACCCTACTTATTTTATTCCTATTGCAAGGAATCACTCTTCAGGTTTTTTTCTGATGGTTCTGAGTAAGTAATCTAACAAAGCCTCTTTTTCATATTTCTCCCTGTCTTTTATAGCATTCCTTTCTTCCTCAGCTTCTTGAAAGTCAATGCTACACTTAAACCTAGTTTAACACAGTTTACTATGGAATCCCTGAGAGCTGCTGTGTGGGGCCTTCTGGATGATCATTTTCATAAGGCAAAGGGATGTAAAACTTACTGCAGGCTTTGCTCCTCCATCCAGTGAGAAGAACTCCTTTTGCAGCACAGGCTCTGACGTAGCTGGAAAGGGCAGCACACATGCAGTCCTCACTCTTCTCACAGTTACACGTGTCAAACATACAGGTCTAGGAACAGAGGATGACGTGAGATCGTCACAATGTCATGTCAAAGCCATGGCAATCTGCAGTTTTTTAAGAGTGTTATGTTCACAAGAGATTAAAGTGAGTGTAATCCACATGTATAAGTAAACATATGCCTGATTTTCATTTACCTCTTTCAAAAGAGGTTATTTATGTGAAAAAAAGAAATCAGAGGTCCACTGTTTTAATTTTTCTTTTTTTTTTCATGTGTTGGCTGTTTTCCAACTACTTCAAATTCATTGCCAGTGTGTCATATATATTTAGAATAGAGATTATTTTATGCCACCCATCTTTTGGAGCTTATGTTTAAGAGTCTGGGCTCTCTGCAGCAGAGGAACAAAGAATACAAGAAGTTATTTGATGGATTTCTATGCTGGGCAGGGATAATACAATATTGTTAATTCTAGATGACATTTATTGAACATAATTTTACAAATTTCCAATAACAGGAAAGTTTTCTAAAGTACCCAGGGAGTGTGTTACAGCATTTCATCACCTTGAATCCCTGGAATATTTTTGTTCACATCTTGTCTAATTCTCATTGCTGCTTTTTATGCACATTGGTTGCCTTGTCCTTGCTTATATGCAAAATCCTTCTGAGAGCAGTTCAGAAGAATTAAAGTTTCAGTTAAGATTCTGGCTAAAGCTTTCATTGTATCCCTCCGAGAGGAAAATTTTTATCCTTTGCCAGCGAATTCAAACTTCTAATTTAGTCTTTAAGCTTGCACCTAAAAATAGGTGCAGAAGGAATACACCTGCAAGTTTATCTTCCAGGGAATGGAAAGAAACATAGCTTCACAAAAGAACAAATTTCATATTGTGTAGGTATGAATGAACCCTTGGCTTGTAAGGTACTATCATGAATGCATCTCCTCACAACTGGCAAGTTATTATCTCAGGTGTTAGTATCAGAAATCTGAGTCTTTTTCTCATGTATTAGATGAGGCTAGAGACAAATACCTTCTGGTAAACTTCTGGATTCACTGTTGAGTGACATTCAGCAAAAGGTCCCGTGGTATCCGAGAGCAGTCCACACCAGTGCTGAGCATATTGGTCTGTGAATTGAAAAACATGGTAAGGATTTCTGTGGCACTCTATTTGCAAAACTCTTGTCTCAGTGGAATTATACCTCCTCCAGGGGAAGCAGAAGCTTAACGTTACAATATAATTAAGCTCTGCATTTGCTGAGGCACACAGTCTTTCACTTCCTCTAGGCAGAAATATGAACTCTTCATAAACTGAATGTTCTCTAATTCATGATAAGTGTCATGGAATAAACTAAAGATACCCTTAGCTGAATTTTAAAAGGAAGGCTCGTACTGTGAATTAAAACTATGCTAGTTCATCTCAGAAAAGAGCAGCTTGTGAATACTCAAGAATTATATATTTTGTTGGCTGAAATGGAGCTTGAATGCTTTCAATCTCTGAAGTTTAAGTCTGTTTCTTAGTTTAACATTGGAAGGGCCACAACCTTCGGGGAGCTAGGCACAGTTTTTTTTCCCCATGTGACAATCAGTCCTTTCCAGGGATGAATCCCTAATACACTGCATGGTTCCATTCTCCCTTAAGTAATTTGACTTGCCATCTCGATCCAAAGGAACATATCTAAAGGTCCAAAATATTTTGCTAGGTATTATTTATTAACTGAAACCTTCTAATGTCAACTGGGGAAAATTGTGTGCGTGTGTATGGATGCTAACTATGAAGCAGGGAGCACAGTGCCTGTGGAATAGCAGGTCACATAACTTTCTCAGTCTCACCTGAGAAAGCAGCCTGGGAAATCATAAGGAGGAATTAAAACAATCCTCAGAGATAGCAAACAGCCTTGCAGGTGCTGTTTGTCAGTTTCTTGTTTTCTTGCAAGAGAAGGTCGAGCGGTGGTGTATCCCACTGACTAATGATGGTGATGTGTTAGCTTACTAACCAATAAGAGTTTTACTTTTCTGTACTTTCATATATCAGTCTATAAAAGAAGATCTGAGGTAATAAACCTTGAGGGATGTAGAAACTCTCCTGTTCAACTCACAAGAGAGTCTGTGTCATTCTTCTCGCCATTCCCAATAGAGCGACACGTGTGCAAATACTTTTGTTATTTTGGCTAAATGCTTGGTGGTGCAGCTTATTCCTTCTTTGCATCTTAAAGGAGAATAGAAGAGGTTGATGAGCTTACCATTTTGGATGCTGACAGTACAGGGATCCTCAAAGGTATTTTTGGCATTAGGACAATCAGCCCGAGTTTTCCAAGTATTGCCAAAGGCAGCTGAAGTGCCCTCTATCACACCACTGGTGGTTTTGAAATCATCTGTCTGGACATCATTGAAGTTTCCACAGAGACCTAGAGGGAAGCAGATGGTCTGTGCAAGTCTCTTACAGGATGACAGGTACTGGTGAAGGCAGTTGTTAGGTCAAGGTCACTCACCACAGGTCTGCCCTTTATGTGACGGGTCTAGGTCTATATAAACTTGCATTGAAGGCACAAGTTGAACCTGTAGCTGAAGACCAAAAGTTGTTTGCAGAATTATGAAGAAAGATGAAGGCCTGAAGATGGTGACATTTGCTAGGGATAGAAGAATAAAATAGTTACAATTTCGTTAGAGATGAGCATTTGAATTAATTGCTTGTTATAGGAACAATATACTAGAGGAATAGTAAAGGAATTCCACAGCTGTGTTTGATATGATCCTAATTTCTGAAGAACTGGTGGGAAAACAATCTTTATAGGATCTCAAATCCAGAACCAAAATGGTCTAACCTAAACACCTAAGTGATAAATGTATACAAAACCTCCACTTTCTGTCAGGTGTTTTATAAAATGAGGGAAGGACATACACTTCTGTTGTTACTTAAAAGGTTGCCTTTGTTTGATGAAAATGCTATAGTACTACTTAATTGAAGAGTCCAGGCTGGACCTATTCTGTCCTTTCATGGTTTGCTTTGTGTTCAGGTGCAGTGGGGTTTGAGAGGAACTGGCGTGTAAGAAACTTCAGTGATGAACACGCTTTGAGAACAAGGACAGAGGAACATCGGGAACTAAATGACTTGAGAAACTGGAGTTCAGTTGCATGTCAGAATTTTTCTTTCCTCTCATATGACAATGTTTGGATCTGAAAGTGTGCAATAACACTATTTGCTTGAACTAATTAGATATTGCTAAATTTAAACCATGATGTCGCTAAAATTATTAGTGTTGAATAGGCAAACCCTACTACATAAAAATGGGAGGCAGTGCTCTGGGTTTGCTGCAGTGAAACCAGAGGTAGAATTTGGCTTTAGTTTAAATCATCTAATAGCATTTTAAAGTAAAAATGAGAAATAGAAGTTTTTCAAAGGAATTTACCTGCTGAAAATGGTAACTGTGTGTAGATCATATTCACAAATACACTCCCAGAAGGCTGGATCACAATGTTCTGTCCACAAGAAAAAATAATAATTATCAAGCAGATAAGTTAAATACTTTCCAAATGTTCCCTATCCGATATCATTCAAGGTAAAGGGGGAAAAAATGGAGGGATACTATGATGATGTTCTGATGCCTGTACCTATTTCTTTAATCATTATTACTTTGTTCCACTGACTGTCCAAGAAAGCAAAAACCATAAATTATCTAAATAACAGGAAGATACTAAGATCTCTTTTAATGTGCTTACTTCATTCTTAACTTTTCTTTTAATAAGGTTCGTATGAGATAAAACAAAAAGGCAGTGCAAATTTCTTGTCTGTGCTGTTATGTGACATTTGCCTTGTCTGTTAATCTTGGGGAACATCCCTAGAGGAAGTCAAGTGTGCACACTTGCTGCTCACCGTTTGTCCTCCATTTAAGCTGATGGCTACACCCTTGAGGCATGTCTCAGTGTCAGTCAGGCCACACTTGTGGATATCCCCCAACACCGTGAATTCATTGCTATCACAGAGCTTGAAGAAGAAAACAAGAGATATTGTTAAAAGGATTTGCTATATTAAAATACAGTTATCTCAAAAATGTTCACATGCAAATGGAATTCTTAGTAAAGTGAGTCTTTTAATATATTGTTTATTTCATTTATTCTTGCTCATGTGGGCTAACGTATGTCTAGAGTCACCAAGCAAGCTGGCATTCATGCAGTCTGCACCCTGGATGCTGTAACATTGCTTCTGGCACTCAGAACATATTAACCTGAACAGTAAAACTTCCTCATGCATTAGTAAGACTAGTTGCTAATGTGTAGGTAATACCTGTTTAATATGCTAGGGCAGGAGGAGGTGTGCCTTTCTTGCCCACTGGTTATGAATTTTACCTCGGAAAATCTGTTTCCAATGTCTTCTGCACTGAATAGAGTATTCAAGACACTGGTGATTTGGACACTCTTAACAGGTAGGAAATATGGATTTAAATATCCTCTCACAGGGGAAAATGAAATTAAAGTTATTGTTCGGGAAATTACTGCATAAAGGTTCAGATTTTGACTCAGTTCTGATTTTTATAGGAGTGTGCTATGTGAGCCATCTTCAAATTGGCCCAATGGCCAAAACAAAAGGGAAAGACTCAGAGAAGGCTGTGATTCTGAACTTGTCTTATCACCTTTTTGGCATTTTGAAGACTAAATTGAGGACAACTGAAATGCAGAATTATAGCCCTCTAGAAATTCAATATTAAATTCTGAGGCTTTTTTAACTTTTGTGTACAAATTTAGAGGTTTTCCTCTGCCTCCAGAGACCCTGAGAGTCTGATTTTACATGTTGGTGCCCAAAGGAGGAGTTTAACGTGTAAGTCTGACCTATGGTGCCGTTGTGCATCAAGGCAGTGCTTGTGAATCTTATCCAAAAATTTCATTGATTTAGACCATTTCTAAATCATATCATTCTAGCTCATTTCTTAGATTTTATGATTCTCTTTCTTTGGAACATTCAGATTTATCATGTCAAGAACAGATTTTATTTAATATGAAGTCCTTATGAAAATAGTTTACCTTAGTCATCCAGTAAAAATAAACAATGAATACAACTATGGTTTTGAAATCTAACAAAAACTCAGTGCAAATCTTAACAATTCTCAAAGAACACAAAAATACTACAATATTATTTAGTATAACTCTAACAGAAAAGCCCCTTAAATCCATTTAGGGATGTTAACCCTCAATCCATGCTAACCCTCTGAGATTCAGAAAACTGATGTGGTTGCCAGTAGTTTTCATTAAAAACATTATATATAATAAAAACATTTTTCTTTAGCAAAGATTGTGACTCATTTTTACCTTGGTTAGGACATAACTACAGTCTCCAAAGAAGGAATAGTATTTCTCATCAAATGTTGAAATGTGGGAACCTCCTTCAACACTGCAAGTCCCAGGGCACGACTGAGTGACACAAGACCATTCACCTCCAACACAGGTACTGAAAGGAAGGAGGCATTCAGTAACATTGGGTAATGGAAGTGTAAAACAAATAAAAAGGCAATAAAGGCAGATGATGCCTTAATTTTCCTCTTGAAACACTGATCGTCCTGCAAAAGAATCCAGTATTGCTTTGAAACCTCAGACAAATATGGGGCAGGCACATTTATATTAAGATGATAATTTTCTATACATATTGTTGTTTGCTTCTAGCCTTTGGACATAATTCAGTCCTGGTGAACTTGTAATCCATATCAAATATATTAAATATTTATTGGAAAAATAAATAAATAGCTATGCACTGTTGCCTACACTTCTGCAGTAATACTTCAGTAATTATAGAATATTAAAAATATTTTATATTTGTCAAGCATGCCTGTCAAATGTGGTCTCCCACTCTAAATGCAGTATGTCCCAAATGTCATGCCCTCCCTAGCATTTAAATGAGCATTTTAGCATTATACCATAGTGCTGAAAAGGTGTAACACTAATTCACATTTTTAAACACCTCTGGTATTTGACTTTATCTTCTTTCATTGATATTTCTTGAAATTGAAGCACCTGTTCAAAAACTCGAATTTTTGTTCCAAGTGTGAAGGGAAAACAGACATGAAAGTAACCTCTAAAGCAGAATAATTATGGAACTTCAATTGGTAAGTAGTTGCTCATTTGTTTTTTAATGGGAAGTCAGTAAATATTCACCTAATGCACAATAAACCCCCGACGCAAAGCACCAAAAAGTGAGAAAATATGTTACCATGATCTGCATTTAGATGAGAAGGAGGCACCAGGAGCATAAGTTTCCCCCTCATAGGTACAGTGGCATTCTGTGCGGGGAATGCAGCCAGCACCATTAACGTCATCAAACACCATTCCTAGGAAAAGAAAGGATCTGTTACTTATTCTGTGCACTGCAGAACCTGCCTTCCAACACATATCTAGCAGATACCTGAGACTATGTCCCATTTCTTCTGTACTTTAAAATTATAGGATACAAGCTATGTAGAGATTGAAGGGCTATAGTCCATTGAAGTCTATCCAAAATTCTTAGCATGATCAAAAGAGACCTCTAGGAAAATACCTTTCTGCTATGGACTTCAGTTGAATGGAATTAGTATTAAAACTATTAGGTAATGAGATGGAATAGATGAACCATGGACATATCTGAACAGTAAATATTGCTATGCCCAGAGAGAGAGGATTGCCTTAGAGAAGTCAGTGCTACTACAGAAACAAGTGATGGTGAATTCTCTGAGACATCATGGGACTGGGCAGAACAGCTGCAAGGGTTCCTGTGATACAGTCACAACAGCAAGAAAAACTTAGACCCAGAAACATGCACAGAGAGAACACATCTATCTTGTATTGATACACAATTCTTGTGTGTAATTCTCTGAAGTACCAGATCTAACACTCTGCCTAGTGCTCTGTCAGTTCCTGGTTGTTTAGACACACAGCACTTGACAAGAAGGATTTGGTCATTTGTGCAATCCGATGCAGCTTTGCTAACAGCAGGCATTATGACTGCATACAAAATCTGCTTAAACACTTAGTACTTTCTGTGAACTGAATTTGAATGCTGAGAACAGAAGACACTGCTGTTGATGGGAGCAAATTATCTTATTGTCAGTTCAGTCATTTTATACACATATATATATAAAAGATATATATATATATAAAGCACATCTGTTGTTTAAAAGGGCATATTAAGTAATTTGAATAGAAATAGTCCATCCAGGGGAGAAATGCAGCTATTACTTCAATGATAACAGCACTGATAGGACTGATCCAGAATATGAAGGTTGTTCAGTGTGTACAGGTGAGTATTCTAGGGGGTTTGGCTATGAGAATAGGGCAGGAAATGAGCTTGCCTGGAGGACAGATGCAGCCATCTGTACAGTGATCTTCACAAAGAGCGGATCGTTCTGGGTTGCTGCACGTGTCGGAGCAGGGAGAGCCACACTCATGGTATTGCATGTTGAACGGACATGATTTGGCTGAAAGTAGAAAGAGTATTATAAAACTGACCTTTCATTTAAAAGTTTGAGAAAACAGTAATTGTAATTTAGGTTGGTTTGTGTCAAGATATGACAGGGTATCCTGATCCAAGAGGAGGCTGAAACATTATAGATTTTCTGATATATATTGAAAATCCCCTAGGCAAAATCCCCTAAACTTCCATATTCCCAAAGTCTTGCATATGCCAAGATTAAAACTGATTTCATGATAATTGTGTGCACTTTTAAATGACCGTCTTCTTCAGGGGAAAACCTCACATATTTGAAGTTTGCTAGATGTGTGCAACAAGCACAGGTGGAGGTCCCTTCCCGAGATACTCACGGCACAGGTCTGAGGTTCTCCAGTTCAGGGGCTGTCCACCTGCATGAGCACACTGCCGGGAGTACTCAGCAAAGGTGTTGCACATGCAGAAGTCAGCCATAGAGCTGTCACAGTGGCACAGGTCTTGTATGCAAGTTTCAATATAGTCCTGGACGTTCACAAGCATGTTACAACTCGTAAATGCTTTGCTGGTTAATACTGTCTCACAGATAGAAGCCTAGGGAGGAAAAGACAGAAGGTAAACAAAGTGTTAAGAAAACATGAAACTAAATTTAAGGCATGGAGCAGAACAAATCAAAGATTGACTGGTCCAGAACGCATTCAACAGTAGCCATTAGCTGATATTTAAAGAAAAATATAACAATAGGGTAAAACCACATGGAATAACCACCTTTGAATAACTCCAGTAGCTTCCATATCCTGGGTTACCATCACCTCAGGTCACTTCCAAAGTATTATATAATTTCTTTATATTAAGACATTCTTAGAAACTTTCTCCTTCAGGAAAATATGGCATCTTCTTGTAGAAGGGGAATGCAAATTTTTGGCATTCACTTTAGCAAAAAATACAACATGAAATTTAGAATATTTTTATTTTGAGACCTACAGTTGAGTCATATTCATGCCCTATTTTTTCACCTTTCTAAAAAGTTTCTCCAAAGACAGAGGATGTATTCACACTGAGAAAACAAATTTTGAGAGAGAGGTTCTTACAAATTCTCTTGAGCAGTTCATCAGAGTAGTAGGAGGAATAGGATCATCACACTGCTCTGTGGGTCCATCCATCTTCTGCCTGTTACCAAACTGTATGGGCGTCAGTTTTGTCTCTGTAAAAAAACAGTTCAAATGTTAGAATAATGCTTACTGAATTTTCTGAGTTTTCTTTTGTGACACTACCTGCCACAACATGAACAATGATTACCAGATAATATCACTATAATATGAAAGGGGAAAAATGAACAGGATATATAAAGAACTGGATTGTAACTGTTGAAAACAAGTAAAAATTTCTGTTTGTAAGGTCTTAAAATATCTAACAGTGATGGAAGCATTCTGATATATCTTAAAGTCCTGACTTTGCACAACTGACATCACAGGAATACACAAAGAAGTATCCCCAGTTTTCCAGTTAATACAACCCACAACCTATATTAAAGTATATTGTAAGAATAAAAAAACAAAACAAACCACCAGTAGTTAGGAATGCTTTTTATTACTTACTTCCTGAAATAAATTCATTGCTGACCGGAATTCCATTGAAGTCCCCACAAAGTCCACAAGTTTGATTGGCATATTTCTTATCTAGTTCCACCTAGAAAAAAAAAAAGAGGCATTTTATAGAAATGGCAGTCTTGATGGTCAGGAGCACAGCCTATGCCAGTATTGCTCATGTACTCAAAATTTGAGACATGCTTGTTGTGGAGACTGTGCTGTGTGAAAACAAGGTAGGCACCATTGGAATGGTCAGTGCTGACCAAGAAAAGCTCACTCTTATCCTAGCCCTGGGTTGTGACCATCAATACTTTGCCAGGTCTGGAATCCGAGGATTACATACTGTGAGGTAGGAATATTATAATTCAGAATCTATTGATTTTGAGCTGAGTTTGGTGGGGGGAAATAAAGGGAAATTGAGAGAAGACTGGAAGACAGAACAATACACTAAAAATGGACACAAATCCAAAAGTAACTAATGCCTGCCTGGCTGTAATACTGCAAAGGTGTAAACAGACTATTTTCAAAGTACAGCCTTTCTTCTGTGCTTTGGATGTTTTCTTACCAAGAGGGCATCATGTCCATTCCAAAGGAAAGTCAGTCCCAACTTGGCAGAAACTTTCAAATAGTTGTTACTTTTCTCTATCAAGACTCCCATATGGCTGTAGGGCATCTGGACCCTGGAAAAAGATCATAAGTCAAGGTAGGGACAGAAATAGGGTAGGGACAGAATATCCATTGAATGCCCACAATGATATCCTTTCTCATTCTCTTTCAGAATTTTCAACATGTATCTGTGAAGAAATTAGAGCAATAAATACTGCAGACAACACAGGTTTGTAATATTTTATCCATTTCCTATGCAATTGCCTCTCATTGTGCAAATGGATCAGCCTTGCTTTCCCTGTTGTTCCTTTTGGCTGTCTCTGTTAAGGGTGTTTTGCTAGGTAAAATGTTAGCATATATCTCTGGCTGTATTGTTTACAAAAGTGCGGGGAGGCTCTGTTTTGCAGCCAGTGTGCTTCAGGATATTGCTCAAGCACACCTTGAAGCATTTGATGCTAAAGGGATAGACTCCAGGCTTTCTGTGACATGAGTGCCAATCAGGAAGCTGTACCCAAGATAACCTTTAGACTAGTTCTCTGTACATAGCTGCCGTAATGGACAGCTCACTATAGGATAGTCGCCCAAATATTTACCTGGCCTTTTGGGGAGGTGTCACACCCTCTGTCAAAGTCAATGCTACAACTGCTACATAGATAGAAAATTTCCAGAACAGATAACTTTAAATTAATTCAGGTACAAGCTGAAGAGCCATCACTGCCTTCCCACACACTGTTCAGCGCAAGAGCAAAAGCTGTCAAAAATTCCTCTCAGGGATTCTGCTGTGGTAAAATTAATGGAAAGTACTAACTTCAAGGGTGTAAAGAATGCAGCTTATAGACTTTGTAGCATTGTCCCTATTGTAGCAGTGGGACAGCATATTGGATATAGCTCATCTGAACAAAACAGCCACAGGGAAAATCTGCAAAAGTGGCACTTAGCTTGCTCTCAAGCCCTCTTTTTTTATTACTACTTCAAGAAGAACCTGAGCCCTCCCACTGCTACAGAGCAATGTGAGATCAGATGAGGGAAAGGGATACTTGCTCAAAGAGCCCACTGGAACAAGGTAGGAACATACAATTTGTCATCGAGCAGGACAGAGGTGGGGGTCAGTTCAATCACTGTTCCTTCCAGCTTCATGATGACATGAGTGATCACAGTAGCATTTTCCACCATTGCACGCCTAATCTGGATGTTGAAGTCCTCATAGGGAGACTTGCAGTTGGATGCAAAGATGTAGTTGCAGACCCCAGGGAAGTAAAAGATGTCCCCATCAAAGGTCTTGAAGTGGAAGTTACCCCACGTGCTACACACACGGCCATTGTGAGAGGGGTTGCCAGCTGTGGATTCAAAATAAGCAGTAAGAATTTTCTGTAATACCTTCACTGTAGATGCTTTTTCCCTCCTGCTTCTTTCACCAGCCTCTGTCCAAAAAGCTCATCTTTCCTCTGTTTTGTCAAGATACTTGTTTTTCATTATTTATTTATTTAGTTCAGTTGCTTTTTGTGCTTAATCAGCTTTGCATAGGGATATAGGGCCTAGGATCAAAAGAGATCTCCTGGGTCACTAGATCCAGTGCTCTAGTTCTGATGACTTCCCTATCCTATAAGTCTTTTTCTGAATGTATGGAGTCCTGAAGTTTCACCATAAAACCATTTTAAAGCAAGTTTAAAACTTACTGATACTCTTACTTGGGAAAGTCATTCATACCCACAACCTCTAAGTGGCTGGAAGACTTTTGTCAACATCTTCCAAAACACATTCCCATCCCACGTATGCCTGGTTGTTCTTGTGCCAAAATTACCCATCACCTTGATCCCTGCTCCTCCCCTTGCCCATTATAGAAATCTTCCTTTTCAGTCTTCCTTTCCTTGCAAGCATGCTCCCCAATATCCCTGATTATCTTCCCAGTCCCCTTCCACATTTACACTCAGCCTGCTTGAATTCTACCTTATTTCCCTAGATAAACTGTCTTGACAGTTTTCAGCACACTAATATTTTCCTCACTTTACTGGAAATATACATAATATTAGGGAAAAGCATGTACAATATGTATGCATGTAAAAATATATGTATAATTTTTTACAGCATTATAAAAGAATGAAGCAAAGCACTGGATTCACAGTTAGATTACTTGATCAATTAACTTTCTGCTAATTTTTTCTGATGCTAAAGGACCTTACACAAATTTATTGATTTTTTCAGTCGCTCCATGCTCCTTGTCATTAACAAGAGCACAGATGTCTGAGCCATGACATTGGCTTAACTTACCCTTTACTTTCAGTGTATTTTGAAAAGATGGAATGATTGTCACTCCTTGGGAGTTGAAAGCTGGTAGAAAATAGAAAGGAGAAAAAAATGACCAAGTTAAATCTTTTTTGAAATTCTAAAACATGGGTAGAGATTGTTTAGGCCTTTAAGTGATTAGTTTTTCCCACTACTAGTTGCACTCTAGCGGAGAGTTTCCACAAGGTTTTATTGGTGGTTTATACATAATGCTTTGTGTTCTGTCTTTCTATAAATTTCACTAACAGCTAAATTAGACAGATTGCAATACTTTATTCCATCATTTGTTCAGGACTCCTATGCTGGCCCTGATACTCTGAACTCAAAAGCAGAAATATGATCCTCAGAGCTCTGTATTGTCATAGTGATTACAACAGCTATATTTAAATAATGTGGCACACGTTTTGCAGGGCAGACTTAATGATCAACTACTTCAGCCTGTCATCACTAGTACACCAGTCAGCTTTGGAGGCTTCCACACTTATTTTGCATTATCCAATTATGTGTCATGCATGATCTTGTAGTACATAATTATTCTAATGTTTAAGGTACTTACAGTTTTCTTATTTTCTTGTGAGTAATGCAGTCATCTTGACACAGTGTAAAAAAATGGGCCTTTTATTACCTACTATCAAGTACCTCGGTGATATGTATGTAAACACACACCTCTTCTGAAAATACACTTTTAGATATAAGTTATGTACCTTTCGTGAAGTTAAAGATTAGATAACTGTATCATATCAGTAGAGCAGATCCACTGGGCCAGATCTCAGAGAAAGTTCTCAAGCTTAGAGCAGTCAGAGACTGGCTGAGAACTGGAGATATAGCACAGAGGATTTCTCTTTTAATGTGTGTGGTATATTTTAGCTAGGAATCAAAATATTGTAGTAATCTTACTACTTATTACTTTTATTTTGAACAAAACCTTAGGGTTTTTTTTTTTTTTAATGAGATCACCATAAAAATACCTACATTTTTGTCGCTGCAGGAGAGATGGAGAAACATACTCTAACTTTGTTGGTTTTTCACCACTCTGGGCTTGAACTGCACCAGGAAGAGCAGTAAAGGAAATGTGAGTGTCTAATTTCTTTAAGTTTCCTCATTATATAGTCACATTTATATGAGTCTCATCATATAGTCTCATTATATAGTCTCAATTATATCTGTTTAAACATGCAACAGGCGGTATATCAGAAATCATCAATGATATGTTTATGTGCAGAAGGTCAAAGATACATCAGGACCATACAACAATGATGGCCAAACATCACTCCTTCAGCCTTTTCCTTTTTTGGTTACTAAATTACTGTAGGGAAGCCATCAAAAACATGCCAGTGGTGATTTGAGCAGGTCCTTATTCTGTTGTAGTATACCCCTGGATTCCCTTATAAGCTTTTCAGATACAGGACCTAAACTTCTTAGATTTTCTGTGCTTTAAGCATCAGTAAAACCTTTTTCCTAGCTAGATGGCTTTAAAATAAGTCCCTTTTGTACAGGAAGAATTCACTTTAGGGTTAGAAGTCTGATCTTTGTCAAAGCCAAAGTTACTCTGTATATTATAGTTTCAAGCACTCTTTGTAATAAGCCACATAAGGAGAATAAATACAAAAGCCACACCACACAGAAGGAAATAGGTCTTTCCAATTGATACATTTGTGCCTGTTGATTTTGCCCCAAAGCAGAGAAACCATTTTTTATTCCATTCCACTGCAGCATCAGAATAGGAATACCTACAATATCCACAGGGGCCAGAGGGGCTTTCCATCCACTGTTTAGTGAGAGTTCATCAGGGGGCAGGTTGAGGTGAAGAGGCTCTGGCCAGAGAAAGCTGCAAGGGCAGGCTCACCCCCTGCTGCACCTCACAGGGGCTGTCTGTGGCCAGGTCCACTAGAGGGGCTAAGGCTGAAAGCAGAGCTGCAGGGAGCCTGCAAGTCCCCTCCTGGGGAAAGAGCTGGGGGTCTGCAGCTGGCCTTAGAGGGCACGTGCCCACTTTAAAGGCAGGAACCATTCAGTGCTTCTGGGCTCCTTCAGTGCCCAGCCACAGACAGCTTTTAGCTTCTCTCTCCATGTGCTGTGTGGCTCTGCTCTGTCTCGTGCCACAGGCAGATCCCTGCTGTCAGTGCATGTTGTGCTAATGCTACAGCTAGTCCTGTCACGGGCTATTCTTTGACACTGACACTTCTGAACATATGTTACTATGGGACTACCGAGGAGTAGGAAAAATATGAAAACATACAATAGGATCTGCACTTGAGATCAAAATACATTTAAAGCTAACACTGTTGTTACCTTAAAGGGAAATTATCAGGTGAAAAAAGAAAAATAAAATTAAAGAGATATCTATCCATCTGTGACTATTAAGTGCCCTCAGAATATTTATAGCAGTTCCATTTGTTTTCAGCCCATTGCAAACCAACTCTGTGTGCTAAACTTCTATGTAACCTCATAAGCAAGATTAAATGATTTTTTAAAATCTCTTGCCTGATGATTTTTAAGTAAAATTCTCCCTTTTTTCAATACTCTATCATCAGCTGATAAACAGAGTCTTTAATAATTCATGCAGACATACACCTCAACTGATTTATTCCTTTCTAGAGGGGCCCTTGCACCTTTTGGTTTGTACATTTACAATTGCTATACCACCTTGAAATGGACATTAAAAGGTAAATACCAATCTTGAAACATTTTTGTAGAAATGTGAGTTCAGAGGGAATTCCACTCAATGCAGTAGAGCAGCTCCAGATTTCAACTGGAGAAAAAAATTATGATAGTTTCAAAAGATTTAATTTTCTCTTCTTAGGAGGGAAAGTATTTTAAGCAGAAAATAAAATCTTGCATGAAGGCAACAGGTTCCTTAACTTCACAAAGCCAAGAAGAAAAAAAAAATGCTTCAAACTCCAAAACAAGTTATAAATTCTTTAAAACAGTAAAAATGTCAAGCAAGTGAATCGTCCTACCTTTGATCTGTATGAAGACCAGGGTTAGTATTGATATCCATAGTGGTATTCGTGTCCCACCACCTTTACCCATCTTCTGGAAGTCCGGTAGAATCCACCGAACAACCTGCCTCTGAGGAAATACCTGTCTGTTCCCAAGTCTTATATAGTGAGAGAGCAGAATTTGGCTCAGTTCCCAGACTGTTTCACAAGGCTCTTAAAAGGTGGGGCTTCAGACATTTTCGTTTTCCTTTACAGGTGCAGAGGTAAATAGAGGATGCTCTGACTTTCCCTGAGGTATTTACACTCTAGGAGGAGTATTCTTTCCACAAGTCTTTTTGATGAAATGTCAAGAAGTGAGCAAGAAGAATTTTTGCGTAGGCTTAGCCTTCCCAAATTTTTATTTGTTGTGGAATAAACACAATTTAAGAGACTTCTGTGTGACTTTTGAGCAGGAAGTTTGACTGAATTACTTCACATGTTTTTTTATTTTGCTCCCTTGGGCAAGTGATGATAATTAGCTCCTCAAAAAACCCCAAAGAAGTTCCACCTGATACAATTTTTTTTTTTTTTAATTAGTTTGCACCTGCCTGTGTAGCTACTGTGCTTGTGAAAATGAAGAAATCAAATGCCATCTATAGTCAGCAGTTATCCCACTGGTCAGGCACCACACAGGTGTATACAATGATAATCCTTTTGTGCTGGCAAGGCAGTAATATAGCCCTTTCCTTGAAGAACTCCTCACATGGTCAATTTTAGGGTTATTTCAGCTGTTTCCCTTCCAAGTAAACATGATTTCACCATTAAAAATTTACTGGATTCTACCTATGATTAAAAAAAAAAATCTATGTGATTTCTAACCCTAGACGCAGTAAACGACAGATAAGCAAGAATATTTTTTGGAATATTCTGTATCTTAGAAGTAATAAGAAAGTTAAGAATGGTTTTTGAGCATGTTAAAATAGTTAATTGCAGCTATATTAGTTTGGGAAATTAACCTTTTATAGTGTTTTACCATTGGATGTAGAGAAACACAGTGTTCCACTAAGAGAGCAGATCCCATAATTCCACATGAGTTCAAACAGTTCCTACAAGGAAGAGGGTACTGGGATTGTCTCCATATTCTTTGGAACCATAACTATGTTTAAAATGGAATGAAGTTTAGCCATAAGGGAGGGACATTAGAGGAGCATTGAGAAAGTAGTGAAATACTCCTTTAGGTTGCCTAGGAATACTGTCCAAATTCCATCACTAGGTTTGTAAACACCTACATGAGAATGGTCTAAGTGCTGTTGATAGTGCTCTGGGGCAAGGGAATAGACTAAATGTCCACTTGAAATTCTCTCAAATATGATTCTCTATTATATTTTATGAAAAATTATCATGGAATCATAGAATCACAGAATGCTTTGTGTTGGAAGGGACCTTAAAGACCATCCAGTTCCAACCCCCTGCCATGGACAGGGACATGTTCCACTAGACCAGGTTGTTCAGAGCCCTGTCAAACCCGGTCTTGGACACTTCCAGGGAATGGAGCATCCATAACTTATGTGGGCAACCTGTTCCAGTGTCTCACTCACTGCACAGAAAGGAATTTCTTTCTAATATCTAATAAAAATCTACTCTTTGTTAGATTTGAGGAAGTAACTTCAACACTAAGAGGGAAATAAAAGGCACAATTTTTACCTAAGCAGCAAACAAAATCAAGAAAACATGCTGGTAGTCCTGAACATTTTAAGAGGACAACTATTTAAATAAAGGTGACATAACAAATTGAATTGAATTGAAAATTTTGAGGCAAGGAATTGTTCTGTTTCAGTCATGAGTTATACCTTTGGCAACTTCACCGATGTGTAAGGCTGTAGAATATACCTTATTTAACAAGAAGATGTCTACAAGATACTGGTATATACAGAAATACATGTAGTGAAAATTTAAGGAATTATCTTTGTCTCTAATAGTTATTATCAAAGTTCCGGGATGAAGATCTAGAAAAAATAAAAAAAAAAATGAATGGATTTAAATGGTACGTAATTAAAGTAATGATAAAATAGTATGGTAAACTCAGGTGGGTAACACACATAAGCTTATTAAGAGATTATGTTGGCAAGAAGAAAAATATACTTTATGAATCATTGTATTCCTTACCACTAGAAATTGATTTATATCAACAGTTGGTATGCTGTGGTTTCATATACATTTCCTGCATGTTCAGGGAAGCACTGGGATCTCTGAGATGTCCCAGTCTGGTCATCATAAATTAGGCTGAAACTGGTTTACAGTATAGTTTAACCCCTTTAATTGAGCTCTAAGGCACCATCAGAAGTGGTTCCCTATATCTGTATTTTTGACTTAAAATTTCAAATCTCATGTATGTCATGAATCAACTGTCCGTACAGTACTAAGTGGTTAATTCATTGACTAATTCTCTTGCCATATTAAATTTCTTATCTTGTCCAATTTCTTCTTGAAAATTTTTATAAAATGTGTTAAAATGTATGAGTTTTGCAAAAATAATCTCAAATATTTATGATGAATTGATTTAGTAGTATTATTAATTATTCAAAGAAATAATTCCTCTTCAACTTGTATTCCACCTCCATTCACTCAACAGACATACACAGGTGACATGGGAGAGTATATTTTAAAAACTGGTTGGGAGTAACATGTCTGATTTTTGTACCTCTTTATGATCAAATCCATACAGTTGACTGCAGGAATGAAAATTTAATATGTCAAAAGAATTTATTGATTAAAAAAATTTTAATTTTTAAACAGAAAAGATAAAATTTTAATTTTATTTTTAAAAATTAAAAATTAAAAATTAAAAATTTTATTTTTTTAATTAAAAAAATTTTAATTTTTTTAACAGAAAAGATAAAATATTTTGCCATTGCATTTGATCTGAAACCCTGACATTTCTTTCGATAGTTTCTCTTCCTTTTTCACAGGATCATATTCTTATTCTCTGCATCTGCAATAGTAATTTGAATTAAATCTTTCAGTAGAAGGGCTGCTAACATTTTCAGATCCATTCTTTTTAACACTATGTGATCAAATGCTACATAGTGGTGATGTTATTTACACATCTTACTCATGATTTCTGAATCTCCTTCTTCATAAAATAAAATGAGACCATCATATCTTATCTTCATAGATACCCACTGTAGAATGCAAATAAAATGTGATAGCAAACTTGGTTAACTTTTGGGTGCAATAATGACTGAAGTCAGTATCTCCATTTATAGTTAAAAAAGAAATAATTATGAACTTATAGAGACATGCAAAAGGTTGTCTAGTCCACCTGATGTCGTACTGGAGTAGGGAGTATTTGTTTCAAGGTAGGAAGGAAAACATGTGATTGACAGGAATTACAGCACTTCCTCTGTGTGAGTGCTAAAATGCAAGTTAACAAGGAGCTGCCTGCTGGACTTTTCTCTGGCAGGTCATTTGGCCACTTCTGAAGCCATGTTTAAGCTCCAGAGTGATGCTGGGACACTTGGCATTGAATTCAGCTGAAGTACCATTCTGATTGCCCCTGAATTTTGGCATGTACAAATTCAAATGCATGATTTCTATCTGAAGGTTTCTATGGAAAAGTGAGGTAACTGATTGTTTTCTGCTTAAAAGTTGTTCATTAATGTTATAGGTGTTCTCTTACTTATGTGAAGATGAACTACATTTCAAACAGCTGCAATAAGTATTTCATAGTATGATACAATACAGTCTATCTAAAGTAAAGCTATAGTTAAAGACCAAAATAGGGATACAACTCCTTTTATGTTCTTTACTAGATCTTAGTCAAACATAGAGCCATTGATCCATTCCTTTACTTCCAAATGCTTAGATAAAACTCATTAATTGAGAATCAAATCACATCATAATGGAGATTTTAAGCCATTTCATTAACATGAGTAGTTCTCCTGTCTTCTAGTGTGTGCACTGTAGAGGAGCAATACTTAATTCTTTAACCTCCATTGCAATGTCTATGTTTTACTGTAAAACAAGTGACTTGATTAGGATCTGTTTCTGATCTGCTCATTTCAAAGTTTGAAGAATCGTTTAGAAGAACCCAAGCAAAGCATAACATTTTAAATCAGGCATTGGAGACTGACTAGCTGGAACGTAAGAGGCTGGTTAACACTGCTATGACTAGGAAGTAAAAGATATTGAGTATAATATCTCTCATTTTATTTAACAGTTATCCTCTGGGAAGCAAATCTGTCAGAGAACAACTAAGAGTACTGTATTCAGACATTCTCCCTACAGAAAGTTAGTAAAGATCCTGTGCAGAGTTAGTAAAGGAAAAACAATGTGCACCCTGTACCAAGAGAAGTATGAACATGGGGGCCAGAGTTGGGTTTCCATGTTGTCCGAACACATCCAGGATATCTCTGTGTATAAAGGGGATAAACACTTAAGCCTCTTTACAGTTTGTAAACACAGACACCACAACCGTGCATGCCAATATTTGCAATTGGTATTATAGACTAAAAAACTGATGTACACAGACACACTGGAAGGCATATTTACATTGTGCAGTGGTGCGTGCTGCAGAGATCCCTCTGCTAGCAGCCGCCAAGGTAAATTCATAGTAGGCAATAGTGAATAGTGAACTTCAATATGAAGTTGCACCTCAGAGAACTTGCTTTTCTCTGGGGCACTGACGCTGCAGCATTGTGCTTGCAATCGGAGCTCTACCCAGAGCTATGCAATGCCATAGGGCCATTGCAGCACTGTGCAGAGCCAGCTGAAAGCTGGGGTCTGTTATACTGTGCCTTAGTGACCCAGATCAAAAATCAGTCTTTAGAAGCAACTGGTGTCTGCAGGCTCAGAGAAATAAATGGTACAGCTAGTCAAAAAGTGGGTGAAATGGAGGGCTATGCTGAGCAATATCTATAAACCCTCAAAGGAACCTGTTGGTGATGTACAAGCTCAAAAATATCTGTGTTAATATACTCTGGTGGACACAATTCTGCTGAATGACACTTTTCTCACTTGTTTGTTGGTAATAGTATAAACTACAGACTGTGTATAAGTGGAGATAGATAAGTATATATACTATTACCTTAGCAAGTTTTGTCAGAAGTTCTATTATTAGCGGACCCTTGAGTATAATGTCTTATCTTAAATAAGTAGCAGACTTTCCTATTCAAAAAAAAAAAAAAAATGCATGGAGGAT